AATACTTTTATTAGGGCCTTTTACTAATGGAGATGAAAATGGTGGATGCCGCTAGTGGAGGAGCATTAGTCAACATGACCCAAACAACAGCAAGGGAATTGATTTCAACCATGACAGCCAACTCTCAACGGTTTTCAAGTGTATGTGGGATATGCACAAAGCTAGACTATCCGACGGATTGCTGCCCGCTGATACAAGAAGGAGGCAATGCATAAATCAATGTAATAGGGAACTTCCCAGGTCCTCCACAAAGACAATACAACTCATACAACAATACTTATAATCCAGAATGGCGAGACCACCCAAACTTTAGCAATGCAGCAAATCAAAGACCAATTTATCAACCAAGGCCTCCTTCTCAACAACAAACGCAAAAACCATCATTAGAGGAACTCATAGGAAAGTTAGCAATTTCACAAGAAAAGTTCATTGCATCCCAGGAAAAATTCCAAAGCTGAACCGAAACACATCTTCAAGAGTTAGATAACCAAGTAAGCCGACTAGCTCAAATTGTGGGAAAATTAATATCACAAGGAAGACTACCTTCTCAAATAGAGTTAAATTTGAGAGAGAATGTTAGTGCCATAACACCCCGAATTGGATCAATTATCTAACCTAAAGTTCTAGCAGAAAAAGCTGCACATCAGAAAGAACAAGAGGACACGCCACCTTCAGAAATACAAGGTACGTCTGACTCACAACTTTCTCTTTCTTCTCATGAAATCACACCACCACCCTTCCCATCAAGGTTGATGAAGCTTGATAAAAAAGTAGAAGAAAGGGAAATCTTAGAGGTGTTCCAAAAAGTTCAAATCAACATACCTCTTCTTGAAGTAATTAGACAAATACCAAGGTATGCTCAATTTTTTAAAAGAACTTTGCACTACAAAAAGAAAATTAATGGGGCATGAAAAGGTAAATTTGGGAGAACATGTCTCTGCAATTTTTCAATGAAAGCTCCCAACAAAGATGAAGGATCAAGGTATGTTCGCTATACCTTGCAAAATAGGTGATTTTAAAATTAAACATGCAATGTGTGACTTAGGAACTTCAATCAATGTTATGCCATTTTCTATTTATAAAATGATTACTAACGAGCCTCTGAAGGAAACAAGAATAACCATACAGTTGGTTGATCGATTTGTTATCTACCCAGTGGGAGTAATGGAAATGTCTTAGTGAAGGTCGATGTATTATTTTTTCCTGCAGATTTTTATGTCATTGACATGGAACATGATAGGTCGGATTCTTATTTCGAGGTTCTTAGGCCGACCCTTCCTAAGCACCGATGTTAGAAGTGGTATACTAACAATGGAATTTGATGGTGAGATCATTGAATTTGATGTTTACAAAGCAATGAAATGCCCTAATCATGTTGAAAGAATTAATTATGTTGATGTTATATATCCTTTAATTGATGAATATATTGAATCTAATTTTTCTTATGATCTTTTTAAGGATCCTAAACTTTTTCACGAAGAGAAAGAAAGGGAGTTTGAAAATATTAATTCAATCAATTATGATTTATCTTTATCTTTATCTTCATCTAAAACTAAAATTTTACATTTTGTTTTGCATGCACCTGAGGTAGAATTGAAGCAATTACTGGAACATTTGAAATATGCCTTTTTGGGCAAAAATGGAACCTTACCAGTGATCATCTCAAGTAAATTGTCCGAAGGAGAAGAGGAAGCTTTGGTAGCAGTGTTGCGCTCTCACAAAGAAGCCATAGAATGGACTTTTGTCGACATTAAAGGATTAAGTCCCTCGACTTGCATCCACAAGATCAAAGTCAAAGAAGCAGCAAAGGCATCACGAGAAGGACAATGCCAATTAAATCCACTAATGATGGAAGTAGTAAAGAAATAAATTAAAAAACTCTTTGATGCTGAAGTAATCTATATGATATCGGATAGTAATTGGGTAAGTCTGATTCATGTGGTTCCCAAGAAAACGGGAGTCAGAGTGGTCAAAAATCAAGAAGGGGAGTTAATGCCAACAAGAGGTCAAAATGGATGGCGAGTTTGTATTTATTACAAGAAGCTGAACTCTCTTACACGAAAAGATCATTTTCCTCTTCCTTTTATAGACCAAATGATTGAAAGATTAGATGGGAAACTCGTTATTATTGCCTTGATAGTTTTTAGGTTTTTTCCAAATCCTAGTAGCGCTAGAGGATAAAGAAAATACGAATTTTACTTGTCCCTTTGGTATATTTGCATATAGACGAATGCTCTTTGGTCTTTGTAATGCACCGACCACCTTCCAAAATGCATGTTAAGTATATTTTTCGACTATGTGGAGAAAGGAATTGAAGTCTTTATGGATGACTTTACGGTTTATGGTAATTCTTTTAATGAATGTCTTGATAATTTAACTAATGTGCTTAAAAGATGCTTAGAATATAACCTTGTTTTAAACTATGAAAATGTCATTTTATGGTTGATAAAGGGTTAATTTTAGGTCATATTATTTCCTCAAAATGGATTACGGTTGATAAAGCTAAAACATATATTATACACTCACTTCCTTACCCCACATCTGTGAGGGAAATTCGTTCTTTTCTTGTCCATACAGGATTTTACTTCAGGTTTATTAAAGACTTTTCGAATATAGCACAACCTGTATGCAATCTTCTTCAAAAAGATCAAGACTTTAATTTTGATTCAAAATACAAGGAGTATTTCGATTCATTAAAGGAAAAGCTTATTTCAGCTCTAATTGTTCAACCACTAGATTGGAATTACGCCTTTGATCATATGTGTGATGCATCGGATACTAGCGTTGGAGCCATTCACGGCCAGAAAATAGGGAAAGAGCCACATGACATAGCCTATGCATCCCGAACTTTGGACTCGGCTCAGAAAAATTATTCAACTAAGGAAAAAAACTTTTTGCTATAATTTTTGTTTTAGAAAAATTTATAACTTATTTGCTTGGCACTAAAATTAGTTTTTTACTAATCATGCAATTATAAGATATTTAATGAGCAAAAAGGAAGCAAAACCAATGCTTATCCGATGGATCGTGCTTTTGCAAGAGTTTAACTTGGAAATTAAAGACAAAAACGGAAACAAAAATCTAGTAGCATATCACTTGAGTCGAATTCTCCTTCCCACATCCGAACCACCAATTAGAGAAGATTTTTCTGAAGAAAAACTGAACCCCATGGTTTGTGGACATTGTTAATTATTTGGCCACAGGTAAGTTACTGCTAGGAGCTAAAATTAATCGAATTAAGCGAGAATCCTGATACTATATTTGGGACGATCCTTATTTATGGAAGCACTTCTCGGATCAGGTAATTCGATGATGTATTACCGAAATTGAGGTAAATTCAATTTTATAATTTTGTCATTCTTACTCTTGTGGTGGTCATTTTGGGCCAAAACGTACAACCCATAAAATTTTTGAATGTGGTTTCTTTTGGCCTAACATCTTTCGGGAATCTTATCTATTTTGTAAAACTTGTGAAATATGTCAACGTACATGTAATTTAAGTTGTAGGAATGAAATGCCACTTAATTCTATACAAGTTTGTGAAATTTCTTATGTTTTGGGAATATAATATATGGGTCATTTTATTTCGTCATTTGGAAATACTTATATTATTTTAGCTTTAGATTATGTTTCTAAATGGGTGGAAGCTAAATCCACTCAGAATAATGATGCTAAAACTATAGTTTTGTTGTTGTTGAAAAATACTATTTTTCCTGGTTTGGCACACCAAGGGCTATAATAAGCGACAAAGGAACACATTTCATAAACCGAGTGATCAAATTATTGATGAAGAAATTTCGAGTAACTCAAAGAATTGCTACCGCTTATCATCCACAAACAAATGAACAGGCCAAAGTATCAAATCAGGAAATTAAAACAATTCTTGAAAAAATTGTTAAACCGGACCAAAAGGATTGGAGTTTAAAATTACTTGATTCACTTTGGGCATATTGAACCGCTTATAAAGGTTCCATTAGGATGTCACCATACCAGCTTGTTTTCGATAAACCATGTCATTTACCAGTTGAGTTAGAACATCGGGCTTACTGTCCGTTAAACAGTGTAACATGGACTTGGATGCAATTAGTGAAGCTTGGAAATTGCACATTCAAGAACTTGAAGAAATCCGAAGAAATTCCTGTGACAGTGCTCGGATATTTAAAGAAAAAAAAAGAATTTCATGATAGTAGAATTTCTTTTAAAACTTTTTCTGCCGATCAAAATGTTTTATTATTTAACTCCAAATTTAAACTTTTTGCACGAAAACTCAAATCAAAATGGCTCGGACCGTTTAGAGATACTCAAGTATTTCCTCACGGTGCTGTTGAAATTGAAGATAAATAAGGAGTATGATTTAAAGTTAATGATCAAAGATGGAAGCTGTATTATGAAAATGCTCCGGTTGGTCTAATTGAAAAAATCAATTTAGATGAACCCAAACTCTGAAAATTCAGGTCGTCGAGCTAACGACGTTAAACAAAAGCGCTTGATGGGAGGCAACCCATTTCGTTCTATTTTTATTTTATTTCAGTTTATTTTCATTTTATTTCATTTTATTTTTATTTTTAGCAAACTTTATTTCATTCTATTTATTTAATTTAATTTAATTTAATTTATTTTATTTTTTCTGAACATATCCAAATTTCGATCGAAAATTTGACGAAAAAAATGTTCACGTCTGGAAGTAGAAGGAGGCGCACGTTAGCAAAGCCCAACCCCCAAGAGGCGCACGTTAGCAAACCCCCCCAATTTTGGTTGTTCCCTCCTCTGTCGAAAATTACAAGTTTAGAAACACTTTTTTTTCAAATTTATTCATTGTGGGCCCCACCTTATCTATCACCATCCCAACTTTTAGAATTCTAAACCAATCCCAACACTTTCTCTTTCCAACTTTTTAGTTTGACCAAAACTAAAATTCTTTTCTCCACTTTTATTTCCCAAGTGATAACCCCCCAAACAACCTCACATCTTCATTTGTCTTGCATTCAATGCCTCGCTACCTCATTTCTTTTTCCCTTCGAACATCCACCATACATAAACCCGAAACCGTCGTTCAACACCTCATTGTCAGTTTCAACACTCGTCACCTCCTCCACAAGCCAATTACTCCACTCCTTTTCTCCATGGTAAGAACATGTAACCAAGAAAACCAAGGAGCTCCACCATCGCTCAACATTGGAGGGAGCCGCCGCTACATCGCGCCGGTTGTTGTCGATATTCCAAGTGATTCCGACCCTCTTCCCACGCCACCACCTCCTCAACGGGTGCACGAAGTCCGCAAAGATCACCGCCAATGACGACAACCCGTACACCCGAGACTGCCAACTTCCCTCCATCGTTCGATCGTTCTTCCTTTAACCGATACGCTACCAGATCGAGCATTGTACGACCATCCAACCCATCATCATTAACAACCCCAACGTTTTACTCTAGGTCGTCAGGTTCAGGAACATGTTCGACACCGAACGTGGAGTCTCCGCCATTTACTACACTTGAACAACCCGAGGTAAATTTTGAACCTGTCGATATTGAACCATTACTAATGTGGCATCCTATTTTTGGTTATTCTGAAGATTTTAGGAACGGATTCAATTTTTCAGATGGTGTACCACCACAACTGAGTCCTGTATCCTCGTATGGATCCGCGCCTTCACGACCATGCCACTCGACCAGGAAACCACAACCTACATCCTATAAAGTAGGCTCGGACGAAACCGAAAGACCATTGGACGAGACCTTTGATCCTTTCGATGAAAAGAATCGAAGAGGCCGAATATATTCGGTGGCACCTGAGATGTCATTGCAAGGATATCTCGATTTTAATGATGACGACGCAAGGGGTTTCTATAGCATTCGTCATCGCAGGTTTCAAGTGTGTAAGTATATTCCATCGCATACACTAGACACTTTACATTTACGTGATGTTGTGATGCGTTATTTCAATGCTATTGGTTGGACTCCTTATTCAAACATTAGATGCGATACTTACTATTAATTGGTTTTTGAGTTCTATATCACTTTTTTGTTTCAGCAGCGTCGTGCTATATCTATAAATACACCTGACGTTATTACTTTTCGGATACTAGGATAATATTTTAGGATGTCGTTGAATGCTTTCAATTTTCTATGGGGTTCATGACTGATGTCACAGACCATGATTATCTGACATTTTTGCGTGAGATTCCACAGAATTTTAACACTGATATGGCTTATGAGGCACTTATAGGTTACCCAAGTATTCAATTCGATGCACGCATTACCAAAGCGTGGCATATTCACGACCCCGCTCTCTGCTACATACGCCGATTCCTTTCCTACAACTATTCATGTCGTAATGATACTACCTCCTATTTGAGTAAGGTTGAATTACTTTTCTTATGGTGCATACAAACCGACATGAAGGGAAACTTAGGATATTGGTTCACTCGAGCTTTTACGTAAGTTGTACGAACCAATCGACCCTTGATTCTCGAACCTTATAATACATATTTAGCATCTCGTTTATTTCCATTAACCTTTGATACTGTAAATTTCACTTATGCTTTTTCTATAGATCCACTTGATGCTAGATGTTTGGATTCAATGGAACTTCTTGCAAGCACTCCCGCTACCCCCCACATTGTAACTCCCGACACCATTACACCACGTAATGGACATGTGTACATGAGGCAGACTGAACCACCTCTGGTAGCCAGTTCCCAACCGGATATGCAAGCCGAGATGCAAGGTGTGACTGGTCACCTTGACACCATTGAAGCCAACCTTGTCGATGTTTTCTCTTATCTTCGCCCGAGCTCGTCTCGACGTGGCCGTGGCCACGGTCGCCACTAGATTGGGGAGTATTCCTTTCCCCTCTTTTTGTTTTTCAATTTTATATATGTTTTGGGGATAAAACGAATTAAGTGATGAAGGAAGGATAAACATGTAGTCAAATTTTTCCTTAACTTGTTTTGTTTGAAATGGAGATATTCTGATATTGATGTGTTGGGATCGTTGGTTGCTAGTCTTGAATTTCACTTTATACTCTTGCTTTCTTTTGGATTGTGATCATGTTTAGATCGAATTTAATTTGTATGATTGGTATAGTTGGTGAATTGTTTTGTTGAGTATTGATATTTCATGCTTTTGTTGATAGAGATAAACTTGACTCAATGCACATAAACTTTCTTGTGAGATTTGGGCCTAACGAGCATACATTTTCTTTCTTGATCATTGTTTGACTTGTTTGTGCCAAACTAATTAGGATGTTCTAGAACTTGTAATCATAATACATATCGAGACTACATGTTGAACGTAATGTTTTAATGTGATAGGGGCACCTAGGATAAACCCACTTTTCCCAAAAAGCCTACCAATTTATATATCCACTAGTGAACAACATTTGAGCCTATTTCCATTTTTTTGTTTTATACCTCATAATTAAACCCGAAGCCTTTCTTTTTATTTTCCTCTCTTTTCACACCTTTACCGAGACTTGAGATCTTGCATCACTCTTGTTCCACGAGACAGAAAAAAATTCACTGTTTTGAAAAACCAAATTCTTCACTGTTTTGAACAACAACAAAAAAGGGAAGGACAAATCGATCGTTTAAATTGTCTTTCATATATTCTTTTTCCTTATTTCGTTACGCTTCATGTTAATTCATGGATTGTTCTTAATTATTTCGATCTCTTGTTTCAGTATTTTAAACCTTTCTTTTTGGCTTTTTCCCTGCCCTAACCTAAGCCCCGTTACACCTTGTTTAAAGACCTCTTGATTATTGCATTATGTTCATTTTTCATAGTGGAGACTTGATTGGATTCCAATTCTATGGTAACATTTTGGTTAGCTTCGATTTAAGCGCCTTCATTTACCCCAAACACTTTGAGCGGATATGTGTGAATCTTTGTGAGGTATTGAGTCATGTTTCATTGAAGTTGGCAATTAATTTGGATGTCTTGCTTACCTTAAATTTTCTTAGTTGTATCTTTGCTTGATTGTAACTTCAATTCGGCAAATATCATGGACTTAGTTCGATTGGATGTTTGAGAAATAAATTGAAATTAAAGATGTAAACTTATGACTTTGATATGTTAATTGGTGAATGCTTGTGGACAAGCTTTGAATAAGTGAGGGGAAATTTGGGCCTTAGTCATTGTTCTTTTGTGGCTTATTTGTTCATTTTCATTCATTTTCTGTGCAGGATGTCAGATTCTGGATATTGCACTAAAAGGAAAGAATTCTGCAGTTTTTTTATTTTCAGAATTGAAGCTAGATTAATGGGCATGAACACGGGCATGAAACATCCGATGAGGCTATGATGTCAGCACCTTCTAGATGATCTAGTCAGCGTTTCTAGAAGAACGAATGGATTGGCTGCACGTTTCTGGAATACAGATTTGGATTAAACTCAAGTTTAGGACAATATTTTAAACACTATATTTTATCTTTGTATTTTAGTTTAAATAGATGTTAGTATTTCAATTAGGATTTAGGATATTATTTTAAATAGTATTTTAGTTTATCTTTGCTTTAGGTATTTTAGTTTAAATAGTTTTAAGTGTTTTTATTAGGATAAAATACCTTATTTTAGGAATTATCTTTAGCTTATTTTTAGGAATTTGAAGGCTATAAATACCCTCTAAGGATGAGCCTAGAAACATATATCTCTCATCTGAGAATTAAATCTTCTTTTTCTCTCTAGCTTTCTCTCTATTTTTTGCACACTTCTTTATTTTCTTTTAAATTTCGTTTTCAACAATTATGCTAACTATGACTTTGGTCATCCTTAGCTAATTTTCTTTTATACCAAAGGCTAAAGCGAAGCCTCAATTCCAAACGTGAGAATTGTAAGGTACTTAAATCGCTTCGGATTTCTCTATGTTTTTTTAGCTTACTTTTCAAATCAAAACGATTTCAAAATTGGTCCGAATGATGTTATGGTTAATGTATGAAGAAGGATTTTCTTATTGAAGCATATTAAACTTCCCGAGAACACACTTATCAAAATTGTTTTCTAAGAAGAAACTGAGATCTGAATCAATTATTGATGAAACGACACAATTCGAGTTGGTAGCGAAGAATTGTCCTTGTAAGCCGACGTGAATCTTGAAGTAAAAATTTGTTTCGATGATCCAAGAATTTGAGGCAAAACTAAAGTCTGAGGATGCTTTTACTATAAGTTTCTCTTTATCTCAATCTCTTTAGATAATTTATTTAATTATTTTCTTTTATTTAGTTCTTATCTTTTATTAAAAAAATAACTTTTAAAACCCTTTTTTTATCTTTACTACTAGTATTTATTAATTTATTTTTCCCTTTTTATTTATTATTACTTATTTTAGTATTTTTCTTTTTAAATTATAATTATTTATTTTATTTCAAACCTCATCTGGAATTCTATCCTCCTCTAAATCAAAGAGTTTTACTAAATCACAAAAACCATAGTCCCTATGGATCGACCCTGCTTCTCTATACTACCTTTTCCTTTCTATTTATTAAGAAGCCAGAATTATTTTGATTGAAAAACGACGGTTATCAAAATGCTAAAATTGTTGATCCCCAACTAAATGTTCTCACTTCAAAAAATCTTAGAGGTGACACAACCATATTAAATGCACTTGATTACAAGATTTTTTTAGGCATGAGAACTCCCCTCATGATCATAAAATACACACACATGCAAATACCTTTACATCATTTTCAGATTAGTCTTCTTATATTTCGTTGATGTTTTGTATAAGTCACTTCACAGAAATTCGACCACCATTGAAATCATTTGACACCTTTCTAAACAATAAGTAGCACAAACTACACAAATTTTTTCACTCGTATCGGTCACAACATGACCATCAACCTAGAGTACTAACCAGAGTGAAACATCATTCAAAGTGATTTTACACTCTTCATATAGATATGGAAAATATGTGTCTTTAGTCTCCAGCTATCTTAGTGTAAAAATTAAGTACTAGTTCCAGTTTACTACCTCAGAGCACTTGAGACTATATATATATATATATATATATATATTATATGGCTTACTATAAGTTTCAAAAGTAACAAATCGATAACTAGCTTTATCGATTTGTAACAAATCGTCACACGCCATTAACAACTATAGGTGATAGAAAGCTGACGTGACATGTTAACTGCTAACCTAGAACACTGATCATTTGACCTGCCATTTGACTCCTCTCTAACCCCATTTTTCTCTCTTTCATTTTTACTATCTCATATTCTCTCATTTCTCTTTTCATTATTAATCAATATGAAGTATTAAATGATGGTTCTTCTTTGTTTTTGCTACAAAAACAAATGGAAGCCAGAAGGTGAGGATGGAGAAAAGAAAGAAAAGAT